ACTACTGTATGGTTTACTACTGTATGATTCTTGTCATTAAGTTCTTGACATTAAGTCTCTGTCAATAATTGCATGCTTATCTTATGGTATCAAATGCTTACATTTTCTACTTAAGGTTTAGTATTAAAAACATTCTAACAAGTATATTTGAAAAGATACGTGCAATTGTAAACAATCTAACTGAGCATTTTTTCCATACTTTGTGATGAACTAGCAAAAATGTGATTAGCAACATAAGACCACCGTCATGAACAATCCACCAAATGTCAATATAACCCTTTTCTCGTGTGCTTCTTTCAGGAAATATTGTTGGATTCTTGACAACTAGCAAAGCTTTTTTTTTTTGTGCAACTACTCGAACTGTGTCTAAATTTATAAACAGAATAATATTTATATAAAAATACTAAATATTTAAGTATTAAATAAAAATGATTTGCTTGCTTATTATATTTGAACTTAATTGTTTTTTTATTATTTTGTAAGTAGCAAAAACCAAATTTTTTTAAAATATAATGCTATAGTACATATTCTATAGTAGTATGATTTGTTAAAAAATAAAAAATACAAAAAAAACTTTCTTTTTTAATATAATGCTATACTAAAATGCAACTAAAGCAAAATACTAGCTGGCTAAAAATATATGAAAAAACTAAATTTTATTTGTACATAGAGTACAGATACAAAGAGAGAAAATACAAAAACCTATAAACTAACATTTATTTAAATGTCTTGTTTTTAAGCACCAATTTAATATGTTTTGGCACAGAATTGACAGTACTTTGGTAATCTCAGTACACCAAACTTACATAATCCAGTAGACTAAACCTTTTGTGTGGTACATGTTGTTACACTTGCCTAAGAACTTTCCTCAAATTTATCATTGGATTTAAGTCTGGTGGATTCCCAGACCATTCCAGCACCTTGTTCCTTTTTTTACAATAATAAACCAGCATTGAACTGTCTTTGCTCTATGACACAGTGCACCATCTTGTTTGCATGCAGTATATTGTCAATGCTGCAGCACTTAAAAATTTTAACACTTCTTCTTCAATATGTCTTAAACTAAATTCTTTTCCAACATGTACTCCTTCAAAACCATCTATAACTGTACCAACATTCATTTTCATGTATCTAAGCACTAAAATAAATGTTCAAGGCTAGACATGTTTTTTTTTCAACAAAAAATTTTTAGTTAGAGAGTTTTTTTAATAATTTTTTGCAATTTTTTTTTATAAAATAGTTTTTATTTCCGAATATTTTAACTACTATATTTAAAACATTTATTGAAAATGGGTACAATGAAAAGCAATTGAGGAGGAACATTACACACCAATTTTGTCAAAAAAAGATAAAGAATAAAAACACAATTCCATCAAAAGGAAACAATTTTCCTGCAGTGTCTTTACCATGGGTACCAGGTCTTTTACAAAAACTTCAAAAATATTCTTAAAAGCAGGATACAGAGCAGTATTTAAATCAAATTTAAGAACTTTATTAATATCTAAAAACAAATCAAAACTACCTAGTAACAGCCAGCCTGGAACATATGTAATAACAGGCAACTGTTCTAAAGTTTACATAGGAGAAAAAAAAATGCAGGCAAACTCAGGGATGCATCAACACCAGAGAAGCATTGACAAAAAAAAAAAACATTAATCTGAATTAGCATTTCATAAAACCTTTTGTAAAGAAGAGATTATTCAGGAAAAAAACAAGAACATAAGGTAGAAAATAAAAACTTTGAAAGAAAAACTAGGAAGGCACTAGAAACACAAAAAAAAACATGCTCTGCGCAAAATGGCGGGATTAATCTTGATAAAGGCCAATATGTCAAAACTATATTTTCAATGCCATCCAATTGCTGACGTCATTAGTAACAAATTTATATAAAATGTAATGGTTAAAAATTATAGCAATATTTATTAAAAGAATCCCCAACAGCCAAGACAAGTGTTCATAATAAAGAAAATGTTTAAAAAAATGTATATATATATATATAAATTTTTTATTATTACTTTGTTGTAGAAGCCAGCCAAAATCATGACACAATTATACATATTTTGTGATTATTAGAGTTTGCAGGCAGAGAAAAAATAAAAACAGTATGATGCGGTTTTTCATTTTATATTTAGTTCATATGGTTCAATAGAGTTGTTCGTTTTATGTTTAATTTACATTTATTTATGCTTTAACTCTTTCACAACTGCAAGCTACTGGTAGCGGCTTTCGAGTATGCTTTACAACTTATCTTGTTTTGTACATAAATTTCCATTCTAGACTCATAGAATTTGCTTGTTCTGAAGGTTTAATTAATTCTCTACATAATTAAGAAAAATTAAAAGCTATATTGTGTAATTATAAAAAAGTTATCACAAAGTTAAAAAATTTTGAATAATCCTTCATAAAAAAACTTTAGATTTAGTTATAAAATAAAACAGAGTTAACACTGTAAAACTTAACTTGTAGAAGTGTTAAGTATTTAGTTAACTAATTACCAAAGTATTTTTTATACACTTTTTTGTATATTTTAGTACAAATACTTGTTTTAACTTTAATTTAGTTTGATTTGAATGGTTATTAGTAAAATGAGTCGCCTAATATTTATTTTCTACTTAGTTCAGTTTATATGTTTAATTTTTTTTTTCAGTTTATACTTTAAATTGATTTATACACTTTTATGAAATCATTCTTTTAGTATCTAGCTTAAATTTAGTTTAAACCACTATGTTTACTGTGAATATTCGTTATATATTGAATTTTTATTTTTATAAACTTTATAAATTTAATTTTTAATTGCATCATAAACTTTTTTTGGGATTTAGTAAAAAGTTGTACAATTAAAATAATTTGGTGATTTTGGCAAAAAAAATAATACGACATCTTGAAAGAAAAAATTTATATCCTGACATCATATACCAAAACTGTTATGAATTAAACACGCATGGAATAAATTATCGAGTCTACAGATTGCGGCTAACATTATACAGACTCCGAGAACCAAAAAAAATTGGAGACGGCGAGCTTCAACTAAAACGTGAATTTTAAATTTTAAATATATATATTTTGAATTTTAAATATATATATATATATATATATATATATATATATATATATATATATATATATATATATATATATATATATATATATATATATATAAATATATATTTTGCTTGTTACAGGCTCTAAACATTGCTAATAGTTATTAATATTAATACTATTAAATATGAGAATGATTGTGATAGATTTAAAGGGCACAACTTTATTTGGGAAAATTACCGGTACCCTAATATTTTGGAAAAAATAAGTTTTTCAATAGTAAATCAACCTGGTACTCAAAAGAAGCAAAATTTTATTAAAAATTTGAAAATAATAATTGTTTAATAAAATGCTGAAAAAAATTGTTATTAAAAAACATGTAAAAATACACCTTTTTTACTTTTAGGTAAAAAACTATAGTTATTATGCAATAAAATCTAAAACAATATATTTTATATGAAAAAAATTTTATTTTCGAAATTTTTATAAAATTTTGCTTTATTTGAGTACCTACATCACATAATTATGAAAAACTTTTTTTGAATAATAATAGGGCCTGCTAATTTTTGTAATTATAGTTGCAAGTGGAAAACATTGTTCAATCCATAAAAGTAAATACTTTCCTAAATTAGTACATAAAAAAACAACTTTATAGCAACGTTTAGAGCCTGTAACAAGAAAAAAAAATTTTATGACCCACCCTAATATATATATATATATATATATATATATATATATATATATATATATATATATATATATGCGGTATATATATATATATATATATATATATATATATATGCAATATATATATATATATATATATATATATATATATATATATATATATATATTATATATATATATATATATTTAATGCTTAATAATATTTATATAAATATATTTAATAATAATATATATATATATATGCGATATATATATATATATGCAATATATATATATATATATATATATATATATATTTAATACTTAATAATATTTATATAAATATATTTAATAATAATAATATATATATATATATATGCGGTATATATATATATATATATATATATATATATATATGCAATATATATATATATATATATATATATATATATATATATATATTTAATGCGGTAGTGGTGTAGTGGTAGAGCGCTTGCTTCATAAACGAGTGGTTCTGAGTTTGATCCCCACCACGTCCCTGGTAGTACTGCGCTCAACTCGTTTCTCCGCGCAGCGGCCTTGTTTGTCAAGGTTCGTGTTTTGGAGTTATAGAGTTGAGAGAGGGTTATAACCACAAATAAGTAGCCTCCTCGTCTGTAGTGGCCTTCTCGGCCTTGAGGAGGTGAATTAAAATTAAAAAAAATATATATATATATATATATATATATATATATATATATTGCAATTGTCTATTAAAAATGTATACATTTTCAATGAATTCCTTATCACCACATTTATATGTTGTCTTTGTTGCCTTTACTTTAAATATATTCCTTATTTAAATAGCTCAATAAATTTCATAATAAATACCTACTGATAAAACTGCACCAGTTTGCATTTTCTTTCCAATTATTTGGCCATGCTATCAAAACAGTGTTTGGTGTTAACCCACCAAGACCAGCTGTCTGAACTCTATCCATGATAAAAAAAAAAAAAAAAAATGAAAAATGAAAAAAACAATATAAAATAAAAACAAACAAATATAACTTAAAAGAATATTATAAAACATTATTTATAATTATTCAATTACAAACTATGATCAAACTTACACTATGATCAAACTTATGGCTTTTACTTAGATCAATCCAAATATCTATATATCCAAACTTATCTGCTTAAGATATATTATTGTTTGAAAATTTATATCATCACTTTATATCTATCTTGGTTTTTTACTTAGTTAAGAAAATGACTTTAAAAGCACTTTTAAAAATGTTTTCATTCAAACATAATTGATGTTTATTTTTTAACAAAATAATTAATTTTTAATTAATAATGGAACTGAGTGTTTTATGCTCTAAAATAAAACTTGAAAAAATGGGGCAATCTTGCTTTGAGGTGACAATATTTACCTGTATTTTTATTTAATTTATTTTGAATTAATATATATATATATATATATATATATATATATATATATATATATATATATATATATATATATATATATATATATATATATATATATATATATATATATATATATATATATATATATATATATATATATATATATATATATATATATGTATATAAGAGTGGTCCAAATTTTACACATAATTTAAAAGGCAGACTCCAGAACCAAAATTTTGTAAAAATTTTAAAAATAGTTATTATGTTATAAAAAACATTAAGAAAAAAATATTTTAACAAAATTTTTTTTTCAAAAATGCAAATTTTTTATTTTTAGTTAAAAAATGTCATTTTCTATGCAGTGAATGCTAAAATAATATTTTTTTTATAAAATAATAGCTATTTTTAAAATTTTTATAAAATTTCGCTTCTTTTGAGACCCAGCATAATATACTTAGGAAGAACTTTTTTTCTTGATAATATTAGGTGCCCGTCAGATGTTTGAGAGACTATAGCTACCTCTAAAAATATTTTATTTCCAAAGATTTTTTAACTCCAGTATTATGTTATTATATAGAACACATTTAGGGTTGTGGAGACTGCATTTTAAATGAGATATGAGATATTTGTTCAAGTTAAGGCAATTTTTATTTATTCAATGCTATAGTATAAACATTAAATATACACTATTATAATAATAAAAAGTGTAAAAAAAGTTCAGTTAAAGAAGCTACGTATATCCGCTTGTACAAGCTTCTCTGATAATTCTTTTTCCACAATTAAGTTTATTTGGTTTAAACATTTATAAATACACTCCCCATTGTCACTGAATATCATGTAGCTTCGTAGTTCTTCCAGGGCTTGAGGTACATCACTTGATTGAGGGCAAGTTGGTTCGATCAAAAAATCTACATAACTATCTTCTTCTTTTTCAGCCCCAAAATTTTATTCTAAAACTTTAGAAGAAAATTTTGGGGCTCATTATTCATTATTGGCTCGGCAATGTTGACAAAATCATCCATGGACACCACATCTTTTGTTGTTGTTCCTTCAGGAAAGAACTCAAATGTACGAACAACAAGCTTTTCTAACTGGTCTTTGAGACCCTCAAAAGGATCATCCACATCTACCGAGGCGTCAAAACACATTTTCTCTGAAATTCTAGCTTTAGCAAAACAATTGCAAATAGTTTCGGTCTTTACCCTCCCCCAAGCAACATCAAGCATTTGCATGGCATCCATTATAGTAAATTCTTTTTTTTACCTATTGCATCTATTAATTTTTGAACAGATAGTGTTCTATAATGGGCTTTAATTGACGTAATCATGTCCAGATCTATCGGCTGGAGCTTCGAGGTAGTGTTTGGTGGTAAAAAGATTAGTTCTTTTGATTTGAGTTTATCAATGATTGGATGAGCTGGACAATTATCAACTAATAAAACAATTTTTAGTCCTTTGTAAATTGCTTATCAATTTCAGGAACCCATTCCTTGTACCATCCAATGTACCATCCATCCAACTTTTCTTCTGACTGCGATAATAGCAGGACAAATGCTTTACATTTTTAAAGCATCTGGGCGATTTTGCTTTGCCAATAACAGACATTGGCAATTTTTTCCCTAATGCATTAGCGGATGCCAATCCTGTAAGACATAGTTTGCTGTATTTCCTACCATTTCTAACACATTTTTTATTTTTAAAATGTAAAGATTTATTTGTTTGGAGCAGATAAAACAAGCCAAATTCGTCAGCATTATAAATCTGGTTTAACTTATATTTTGATAAAATGGTTGGTAACATGGTTTTCTCCCATGGTGCTACCATTTCACTTGCTTCACCAGAAACCATTTTAAATGATATGTTGTATCATTTCTTCCAAAGGTCTAACCAACCATCTGGAGCATGAAAATTTGTAACATTCATTCTTTCAGCAAACTCCATGGCTTTAGATTTTTTAGTTTTGAGAATTAAAGCAGAGACAGTGATATCTCTGCTACGAACAATCAGAAGCCATTTGAAAATGGCTTGATCCAAATTTGCAAATGACCCTTTCCTAATATGCCTCATATTATATTTTAAAGCAACCTTTGACTTTGAGATGCCATCAAATACTTCCTTCAGTGAATTGTATTTGACTTTAGCAGTATTCAACTTTCGCTTAGTTGCAATTGTCCCCATGTTACAAACTTTGAGTTTAAAAAGCATTTAAACTCAAAGTTTGTAACATGGCGTTGTTACAAACTTTGAGTTTAAAAAGTATTCACGCTATACACTTAAAAGATAATATTCAAAAAAGTTAAGAAAAAAAAAGCAATACAATGTCTTCCTTAAAGTATTTTATATTTTATATGGAATGACTTTTTAAAAAAATTTTTTAATCAAGTTATTTTGATTTCATTATTTCCCATACAAGAAGATTTCATTATTTTCCATACAAAAAGATTTCATTATTTCCCATACAAAAAGTTTTCCAAAGAAATTTGCCAAAAGGAGACAATAAAATGGTTTGACTTAACAATGTTTGAGTTATCTGATGTTCAATTTACCGGAGAATTTTAATAGTAATCAGTTAGACAATTTCAAGGGACCAAATGAAGCAGTTTGAGATAACAAAAGTTCGAGTTAGCCGATGTTCGACTTACAGGGAATTAACTGTATGTATATATATATATATATATATATATATATATATATATATATATATATATATACACACACCCACACAAACAAAAACATTTTTTTCCAATAAAATAATTTCAACTTCAAGAAAGCATAATAAAATTGACATATAGGAGTTAAAATAAAAGTTTCACCTCGCCTAAATACCTATCTCTGACTCTTCATATGGATAAAAAAAAAATTAAAGATGCTTTTAATCAAGGCAAAAAAATGGATAGGTTAGTATTCCTTTTAAGTTCACTAGACTATGATGACCCCTAGCTTATAGAAGTAATTGGAATTTCTGATAGGTGTGGAATAAACCAGACTACTGCAATAAAAAGATTTTAAATGAATGAAATCTTTTCAAAGCAGTTGATTGCGTATCATTAAATAAATCTGTGAGTAATACTAAATGGATAAATGGAGCATTAATTATTGAAAGACAGAGAGGCAAACCACTGATTTGGAATGTAGATAGCACGTTATAGAATTTTGAGCTAAAGTAATATAAAAGTTACAGGCAATAGTAATAGTACACAGCCCTTAAAAATAGGAAAAATAAGGTTAATTAACTCTTTTATGTCAGCAAAAAATTACAGACATAAAAGAGTTTTAAGTCAGCATCAGGTCGGCAAATAATATACAAAGAGGGTTCGACAAATCAACAAACATTAAACACTAAATTGAGAGAAAAATAAATGCAGAATTTGCTAACTTTTCGATCAAACATCTGCATTAAGTTTAAAATTTGACAAATAATAAAACATTAGTTTTGGCCATTTTATTTCATTTAGAAATAATGAAAACATTTGTTATTCTGTTTTTATTTTAATTGTTTTGTTTAGAATTCAATATAATGTTGATTTTTCCATTTTTATTTCAATTGTTCTATTAAGAATTTAAATAAAATGTTAGTTTAACGCTATTTTCTTTTTTTAAAATTATATTTGTTTTATTTAGAATATAAAACCTTTTTTGCAATAACAATTAGTTGAGTTAAAGTTCACTAGCTACTTAGAGCCCCACGCTGTAGTAGAAGTAAGATCTTTTTCAAACTCAAATGCCCTATCCAAGCAATCAGAGAGTGTTGGCTTCTTATCAAAAATAAATGGTAGTATCACCAGCGAACAATGCTACCTTAGATGTGAGAGTTTCTGGGAGGTTGTTAATGTAAATTAACGACCTCCCAGAAATTAAATAAAGTATAGGGCTAAGGATAAAATCTTGAGGAATTCTTGAAGTTACAGGAAATGAAGAGTGATATCCATCAAGGACAACTTTTATACTATGATTAGTAAGGAAGGATTTATTATCTTAAAGATGTTACTTGATACACAGTAAGAAGAGAGCTTATCTAGAAGACCAGCATGCCAAACTTTATCAAAGGCTTAAGAAATGTCAAGAGCCATAACCTTAACCTCTCCACATTTATCTAATTCATGATAAAGCAATCAGTTATTTCCATTACCAAATCAGCACTAGAATGAGAAGATCAAAATACATGTTGATGATCAGAAAGTAAGTTTTTAGATTCAATATGAGAGATTAAGCCTTTATTTATTAAAGACTTAAAAACCTTGCTTATGATAGGAAGAAGGCTAATGAAATCGTTCTCCAGAGTTTTTGAAAATAAGGATAACAGATGCCGCAAGACTTCTGCAAGACTATAACAGGTATGTTGTCCAGACTCAAGCTGTAGAAGAGTCAAATCAAGAAATCCCTTTAGATACAGAAGCTGGATTGATAGGAATGTCAAGCAATGGATCAACCTGTTTGTCTGCTATATCAGATAGGATAAGATTAGTGGAATTAAGAAATGAGATGAAAAATTCTAAGCAAACAATTCAGCTTTGTCTTTAGGTGAGGAAACAAAATCTGAACCATGCAAGAGAAGAAGAATAACAAATTTCCCCTTATTATAACACTGTAAAAGATTTTCCAGAAGTTGATGGATCCTAATTTTTTAGATATAATACGAGATTTTGTGACCTGAGAATAGCAGGATTTGGCATTAGACAAAACCTTTTTACAATGGTTTCTGGCAATAGGAAACAGATGTCTGTTTTCTGGAGAATTGTTTTGGTGATAGATGTCGAAGTAATGGTTACGATTGGAAATCGCAGCAGCACAATGAAAGGAAAACCATGTAGAAGAGTGAGCCTTGAGTTGTAATCGTCTAGAGGGAATAAAAGAATCCATGACAGTCTGTATCCAAGAAGTTACATAAGAAGCACATTTGTAAGCAGGAAGACGAAAGATTTCTACCCAAGGGCCATCATAAAGAAAATCATGGAAAGAGTGCCAGTCAGCTTTTAGGTAGTTGTAAGAGGTACAATGATAAGGGGATTCTGATGATGAAGAAGAATGGGATAATAGTTCTAAAGAGATCAAACTGTAATCAGAAGTACCTAAAGGTGAATGAAGAGAAACTGAGAAACAAGACAAAGTATAATTGTCAAACAAAGTTTTTAAAAAAGTTTCAGTTGAAAAGGTAAATGATTTGGATTGCCTGGAAAGTGAGTTGGAAAGTTGACTATTTGTAAGAGATTAAGAAAGAAAAAAAGTTGTGGGTCTTAACACCTGCAGAATCACTGACACTAAGACCAAGCCATTCTGTGTGATGAGCATAAAGTCACCAACAACAACGATTTTAGCTGAAAGATAAGGAGATAGGGTTGGTCAATTTGATCAGAAATAACATCAAAAAGAGTGCAGTCTTGAGATGAAGGAGAGCAATATAAAACAAAGAGAAAAGTGATAGAGTGAAGTGGTGCTAAACGAAAGCACATAAAAGAAGTCTGTGGATTCAAACTGAGTTTCCCGACAAATAGGTGAGTTTTTGAAAATGTAAATGCCCAGGCCAAGCATGTGACTATTGGACTCTTAACAAATTAAAGGAAGATAACCATCAACACTAATATCAGATATAGATGAGACAGCTGAACTCAAACTAGTTTCACAATAAGCAATATATTTTCGATAAAATCTCATCTATATATATATATATATATATATATATATATATATATATATATATATATATATATATATATATATATATATATATATATATATATATATATATATATATATACATACATATATATATACATATTAGATAATATAAACATTGACCTACAATGGGGTCCAGAAGGAGACCCTTTGCAATTTCTGCTGGGATGACAACATTTATTTTTATATTGAACTTCATACTGTCATACTGAATTTGCCTTTTAAAAAAACTTTGCTGAAACTGCAGTTTTGTACATTGATATTTGTGTATCAATGTACAAAATTAATGTGCATTGCAGTTTTAATGTATAAAAAGACATTTATGTCATATTAAAATGATAGCATTTTAAATTTTTTCATTCTTCTTCTTCTCTTTCCTCTTTGCTTGAAAATGTGTCTGAATTAAATTTGCATTTTAAAGAATAATATAAGCAAAATATATTACAAACTTCTTTAATAATAGATAAAAAAAGAAAACAAAGTGAACTAAAAAAAATCAACTAACATTTGTGAAAAAGCATCTTTCATATTAGGCATAGAAACAACTGAGCTAAATCCTTTTATTCTTTCTTCTTTCATCACTTTTTTGAGATCCTGTTAACAAAAGTAAATTTAAAAATTAAAAAAAAAAAGAAAAAAAAAAAAGTAAAAAGCTGCAAAATTTAAATTTTGAAAAATGCAAAAGAAAAAGAAAAACAAAAAAAGAGAAAGAGAAAGAATGTTCTTACAGTTTAAAAAGTAACTTCAAATATTCCTTATTATAAAAAAACCATTTACTCTAAAATTTATTCATAAACTTAAATTTATTCATAACCTAAAATTATAAGTTAAACTTATAACCTAGAGTATAACCTAACAAAATAGAATATAAATAGATAAAATGCATTAATAATATAATTAATGCATTAAACTATAGAGTGGATAAAGATCCTAAAGTGAGAAAGTTATTTTGTAAAGATGAATAACAAGGACCCTAACTCTGGACCCATAAATTATGGGTCTAGGTAAGTCCATTCCACATCAATCATTTCTATGCTTATTCCTTCCTTTAATATTTTACAGTAAGCAGTAGAAAATTATATATATATGTGTATATTATATATATATATATATATATATATATATATATATATAAACTTTTAACACTTCCGTTGCACGAACCACTATTTATCAGCAGTTTGAACTAGTACCCACCGAAATAATATTTAGAATACCTGCTTGAAATATTTTGATTAATTACAATCAGTAAAAAAATTTTAAAAAGCATGTGGAAATAAACCTAAAAACATGTGGGACAATGGACTTATCATGACCCATAATAATACAGGTCATTTCTAAACCTATTCTTAATGCAATTGTTTTATTTTAATAATTTTTAGTAAGAAGTAGAAAATAAAAAATCTTTGAAATTTTTGTTTTTTAATGATTAATTTTCAATACATTATAACTTCTTATTGTAAAATTGTAAACTTCTATGAAAAAAACGGGGACGAGCTTATTAAATTTTTTCTTTATTAGGTTTTTTTTAATTTTTTTTTAGACCATCTGCAGCATAATAAGGACTTTTTAATTAATTTTGAAAAGGCCTTGTTAATTAACCTTGAAAAAAATGTAAGTTTGATATAAAAATATTTTTTCCTATAATAAAGAAAGTTGTCTGTTTAATGTGTGTTAAACGCATAGACTTAACTAATGACCTAAGCAAATTTCTTCTACTGCTTTGACATTCATAGAACTTTAAAACTTTTAAAAAAATTCTCTCCAATTTGTTTGTTATAGTATATAATATCTTTATATATGTTATGTATATAATATCTATAGAACTTAAGAAGTTTTTTATTTTGTATTCTATAAAATTAAAAAACTTAAAAAAAAAAAAATGCTGGCAAAAGGATTTGTATCCCTATAGAGGACTTTAAAAGCATAGCGAGCTAACCAAGTCTTTTCAATATGGACTCTGTAAACCAGCATAAACTAATAACATTAGTTTGGAAATAGTAACTACATGTAATCAGATGAAGTTCCTATTTCCCATTTCTGTTAGAAGTGGAATACTATTAACTTGGACCTAGCACACCTCACACTTGTTCTTGATATTTCTTCTGCTCCACCAGCTAATTCTACTTTATCTCCAGGATAACAAAACTTTTCACCACTATTTATTTCAATTTCTTTTTTAACTACTTTATTTAACAAAAGTAAACTTCCAACAGTTAATTTTCAAAACCAAAGATGTTAAAATTTTTTTTACAATAATTATCTTTATAACATTTACAAATTCGTGGCAATATTTACAAATTTATAAATTTTGAATTTCATAATTACAAGTTTACCTCTTCTAACTCATCATGTTTTAATGCACCATCAAGAAACTCTTGTTGAATTACTGTGGAAACTATAGTCAGACCTTTTCCTTAATAAAAATACTATTTTTAAAAACTTTTCTATATTATTAAATAAATTTATTAAAATAGTTAAAATTTAAATAAGTTTTAGAGTATTAAATAGTAAACAACTTTAAATGAAGTTAAATAACAATTTCATAAACAAACATCATAAACCATCATAAAAAAATATTTAAAATAATAGATTTTATGTTCACACTTACCTGCTTTTAACTGACTTGCAAGACTTATTACTTTTTTGCATTCACTGTTTAAACTATTCGGTTTCTCCTCAATTGGACACAAAACAAGTACTTGCGGTCTGATAAAAAAAACGGTTTTTATATCAATTTTTAAAAATCTTTTTTTTTTAATATTTTCTGCATTAAAAATTTGACATAGGTGGTAAAGTGAATGAGTGCCTTAATGCAAAAAATCTGTAAATAAAACACCATTATGGTAAAACCAAGTTCAGCTCATAAAGAATTGTCCCTAAAGCAACCTTGTATGTCACTGTTGGTTATAAGGTTTGAGAGAATGTAGTTGTGCCCTAGAAAGTAAAAAATGGAAAAGTAAACTTGTATAACATTAATTGCATTTAACTAAATATTTTATTGTATTTAAACAATAAAATTTTATTTAATAATACAATTTTTACTTTAATATTATTATGTGAGTAGAAATTTTTTTTTTTTTTTTTTTTCTTTTAGAATTTTTTTAGATCAACTAGTTAAACACATATTGTTTAAAATATATACTTTGACAATATTGTAGATTATATTCATTAATATGTTATAAAATTTTTATTCATTACTTTAAAAAAGGAACCAATTTACTGATTATGTTAATAGCAAAGCTTGATATTAAATTATCTTTATAGCAAAACATGGAAACTTTTCAAATTTTAAACTAAAAAGCTTTTGTGATATATGCAGTATTTACAGATTACTTTATTTATAACCATTTTTAACCAATATTTACAGTTAATAGATATTGAGTAATTTATAATCTACCAATGCATCCCATTGACAGAAACCTATATAACAGAGAATATTTGTTGTTAGCGTGACAGGTGTAGTTTATTTAGAATTTCTTCAACGAAACTGAATTTTTGTGATCAGAATCATTTTAAAAAAATTTAAAAAAAAATTGATGTTTTTTAAAATTCTAAAATCATTTTGGTATTTAATGTCTAACAATTTAAAATTTTACATCAGCACCCAATTGAAATATAAGTAATTTGATAGAACATCACTGTAATTATGGGTATATGTGTAAAATCTTTTTTTATTTAATGTTGTTTCAAATTAAATTGACCAGGGTGCTTCTCTATATCTATCTAAGAACTAGTTTTTGTGAAAGTAATGCTAATTACACTGAATTGATTGACTATAGTAACTGAACCATCTATAGTAACTGAACTATAGAAACTGAACTATAGAACCGACTATAGTAACTGAACCATCTTGTTTTGTCTTACTCAATCCATTCCCCAAATATTAAACTTTCTTATTCATTTTGCTAACAATTCAAAAAAGTTTGTTCTATATTTTTTATTTATTAGCCCAAATTAAAAAGAGGCCATTATAATGGAGGCTAATATATATAATATATATTTTATATATTATTTATATAATATAAATATACTCTTCAATTGCCTTTGCCTAATGACTTGTTTTTTTCTTTTTAACACTTCTGTACATTTACTTCTAAGTTTTTGTTTGACCTCTAGTTGAATCATTCCATGCTATTATCTCACTAAAATGCTTTTTGACCATCTTCTTCATCAGAATTACTTAATTCATTGGACTTTATACAACTATCTTAAAGCTGACTAGGATTCCTTCCATGATTTTCTATGTAAAGGTCTTTAGGCTGTTTTTTTTTTTTTTATCTCTTGGCTTAAAAATGTGCCTTTATGTATTCTATTGGATTCAGTTAGACATGAAAACTTTTATTCTTTTTAGTTGTTTTCAGCTTTATCCCTGATTTTTTTTTGTGCAGTAGCTAGTTTTATTTCATTCAGTTCCCATGGCTACATTTAGTTCTTTAACATTTTTGTGACTGTAAAAACTTTTTCTGTTTTTACAGTCACAAAGAATATATTAAATTATTATAAAAATTTAAAAGACTTGATGCCTTTAGATAGAAAATTTTATAGAAAGTACATTAAGTAAAGCTCTACATTTTTTCAAAACATTTCTAAAGAGTTTTAAAAAAATAAAAATCATCCATCCAATTATCTTATTTTATTTTTATGAAGTAGCGTATACGCAGAGATTACATCTATCTCATTTTATTTTTATAAAGTATGAATATGTTACGCACAGATTGTGAAATCGCGCATTTCACAAACTGTGCAGTTTTTTGCTCATTTCGTGAAATGGATAGCGCAGCTTGTGAAATGTTGAACTTTTATTGTTTTTTTTAATACACACTCTGCGTAAAAAATAATATTTATAATAAATATATGTTTTGTTAATTATTAGACTACCTGCCCAACCCAAACCCTCAGTCGATGTAGCAGCACTCCGTTGCGAGTCAGGCTATAAGATAGTTAATGTAGCAGCACTCCGTTTAAGTCGCAATTTCTTATTTAAGTCAATATTAATATTTATTATACATAGTATAACTAAATATTTAAAAAAAATTCATTCCATTTCACGAAATGGAATGAATTTTTCAAAATTCAATCTATTTCATGAAATGAGCAAAAAATTGCACAGTTCGTTAAATGCGCGATTTCACGATCTGTGCTTTACATATACACAGAGATTAGATTTAGGTGACATAATTTTTTGCTGTAACATATACACAGAGATTAGATTTAGGTGACATAATTTTTTGCTGTAACATATACACAGAGATTAGATTTAGGTGACATAATATTTTGCTGTAACATATACACAGAGATTAGATTTAGGTGACATAATTTTTTGCTGTAAAACCAATGAAAGAAATTGTATAAGTAAACTATTGCTAATAAAGCGTGAACATAAAATTCTGTAGCTTGTTCATCCCAAAAGTAATTCAAGTTTTTTTTTAAACTAGTTCAATTCTAATCAAGCCCACCATTATTTAAACTGCGAGTTACTAGAAAATACAAACGATAGTTAAGAAGCAAGACAAGTTGAGAATTCTAAAAAAAATTAGAATAAAAAAAAACATTTTATTTAAATAAATAAATAAAAAGTTTAAATAAAAAAAAAAACATGTAAATGTTTGTAATAACCAGTTTTTTTTTGTTTTTTGTAAGTAACACTAAATTTAAAGAAACTAAAACAAGCGGATATATTTTTAAATAACTCATTATTAATATTTCTTTTTTTTTTTCAATAAGTTTTCCATCATGTGTAAATGTGTAAACTGCACTTTAGAGCCTAAAGCTATAAGAAATAAACTCAACCAAATAATTATTTTTGCTTTTAATTTCTAATTTCAATAAAATTTAATAGAATTGTTAACTTACTTATAATTATAATTAAATCTATTTTTATATACAAAATTAACTACTAAAATTATCAAAATTTAATAAATTAATTTCAATAAAATTGAATAAATAACTGTTAAATTTAAAATGAAAATGAAACTAATCGTTAAAATCAAATTATCACCTCCAATTCTTGGTATGTGGAGAATAACTTTCAAGTCTTAACAAGCTAAACCGAGCTGCACTAAGAGCTAAACCACTAAAACCATCACCCCATTCTTTAACTGCTCTACATTAAAGAAAATAAAGTTTAATAACAAGTCATAAAAATTTAAACAAAATATGAGCAATAAATCCCTATTTACTTTTTTTTTACTTATTTTTCAATTTAGGTAAATTTTGCATTATTTTATAATTTGCATGTCATGTGCAACTCTATGGTCCACACATCCATATGTACACATGTCCTGCAGATGGAAATTTGAACTTTTTTTCAAAAAGATAGGCAACATTTATAAAATATTGTGAACTTTCTATTATTAAAATTACAAACACTCAAATAATACATTTTAAATATTGACTTGTATACAAATATCAATAATACTCTCTTAATACAATTCATATATTACTTACACATCCACAACTTATAATAATATTTATTATATAATTATATATATATTTATTATAACAACACTAATGTATACATATAATACTCTGTATACTTATCTTTGTTTTAATTTTGTAGTAAAATTTTAGGAAAAACTTATTTTAATTTACATACTGTAAATAAAATACATTTTAAAAATAAACTTTCAGTATATTTAAAAGTTAGAGTGCGTGTGAAAAATTATAGCTTTAACAATGACAGAGTTTGATGTTATAATCAAGTTTTTTTTTTTAATCATTACAACAATGTGACAATTATTGAAGGTTGGCTGCAAGTAAAAGCCCAACTATGCGTTTTTACACCTTGTCTAAAAAAGAAAAGACATCTTTCAAAGATCCGCTCCAGATATAGCAACAGTATTCCATAAGAATATGTTTTTTTAAAATAAGTTTATATAGAACTTTTTTTTATTATAAGAAAAAAATTAATTCCACAAATTTTTTAGAAATTGATGGGTGTGAGTTTTGTTATGAGATATTGTTTTCATTCCAAATGAAATTCCTCTGCCATTATTACTATAACAGTTATTGAACTACTATTATTTATAACTAACTTTAAATATAATTAGAACATAAACTTATCAAAAAACAGTCATAATTTACTTTTCTGTTATTTTGTTTATATCAAAACATCAGAAATTGATAAACAAAAAAATACTTTTATTTTGAACTAACAAAGGATATGCTTCTTTAGTTAATGTTATTCACAAGCAAAGTTTTTATAAGAGTTAATGTATATATTGTAGTGTTTGTATAAGATATTTCTTTCTGCTAGCTAAATTACTAAACTTACTAGTTGCTAAGTTACTAGATTTACTACTTGAAGTTAAACTTTTAGGTGATAGTAGTTTAACTGCAAGTACCTGTCAAATAATAAAAATAAAAAAAACTCAGCAGTTCTTTGAAACTGCTATATATCCTACATGCTATATATTATCCATAACTTGAAATTATGAATTATATTGACCTTGTTTTAACGGTTGCTGCATCTGATGCATCTTACAGGGTTATTCATTTTTATATGCGCGCCTATTCATTTTCATATGCGTGTTTATTCATTCTTATATGTGCATTTATTCATTCTTTTATGCGCATTTATGCATTCTTATATGCGCATTTATTCATTCTTATATGTGTATTTATTCATTCTTATATGCACATTTATTCATTCTTATATGTGTATTTATTCATTCTTATATGCGTGTTTATTCGTTCTTATATGCGTGTTTATATGCGAGTTAATCACCCATAAAATCTCTAATATAACTTTATATAAACAATAAATAGGCTTTCATGTTTTTATATAGATATATTTAAATATAAAATATAAATTATTTAGATATAAAACATAAATTAGGTTGTTGCCACTGCTATTTATTTAAAAAATAGTTGCCAAACCAGCTCTGGATTTATGTAACTGCACATATGGTTGTAAAATGGAACTAAGTTAAACTCCATAATATTTTTAAGTTCCCTTATTATCCCATCCATATTTTGAAGCTTTTCTCCCTGTTTATAAGTATGCTTTGAAGAAGTTTTCTTTCTTTCTTTAAAACAGTATTTTTAAAACAAGTTGTTCTTGTTTCCTTGTAAAAGAGGTTAAAAATACTTAAGACAAAAACTTTTTACATTTGATGATGATTTATTTAATTTAGTATTAGGTCTTTGTTTAATTTTATTATTAAATTTATTGATTGATTAAATTATTATTTATCTAGATTTAAATTTATTAATTGATAATTATTATTAATACTCAAATATTTACCCTATGGATAGAAGAGAAAACAGCAGTGCCAATCATAAAACAAGGAAAAATGTTACAAAAGAGAACATTGAAATGCTTAAGCATTTAGTTGAAAAAAATGAATCAATAACAAGCATTTCCACTTCTCTTAACTTATCTATGCACACAGTTCAAAATTGTTGTTATTTATTTGGAAACTGCATATAATATGTACACTAACAGCACATATGGTTATTCTCTAATGCTAGCAATTTTACAGTTATCTGCAAATGGTGGTATAAATGTTAGTTTAATTTGTGCTATTTCAACAATGGGAGTGCTGGCTTATGAAAACTGGAGGCTGAAATGCAGATTCATTTTGTACTTTCATTACTGCAGTATTGACACGATTAGGGATGCAGATGTGGAAGCGCCGGTGTTTGTTATGGAAAATTGTAAATTCCATTGGAGTCTTACTGTTAGGCAAAAACTAGCTTCTCATGGCATAGCTATTAAGTATCTGCCAGCATACATGCCACAGCTTAATCTGAAAAAGAGTTTTTTTTTCTTCTTTAAAGCTTCTTTAAACTTACAAACAGGGAGAAAGGCCTCGAATTACAGATTGGATAATAAGGGAACTTAAAAATATTATGGATACTACAGAGTTACTTAATTAGTTCCATTTTACAACCGTATGCGTAGTTACATAAATTCAGCACTGGCTCGGCAACCATTTTTTAAAAAAATAGCATAGGCAACAACCTAGTTTATGTTTTAAATATATCTATAAAAAAAAATTAAAGCCTATTTATTGTTTATATAAAATTATATTAGAGATTTTATGGGTGGTTGACTCTCATATAAACGCGCATATAAGAATGAATAAACACGCATATAAGAATGAATAAATGTGCATAAAAGAATAAATAAATTTGCATATAAGAATGAATAAACACGCATATAAAAATGAATAGACGCGCATATAAAAAAGAATAACCCTGCAACAAAATCAAAAATAATAAAATATAGCAAAAACATTTGCTAAAAAATATAATCTTTTTTGTACTAAGAAATAGAAAATAAACTTTTTAATTTAAATTTAATAGTTCAGTAAACTAAAGATTAACAGGTCTGTGCAAGATTTATATAAAAACATACCTGTCAATCTTTAGTTTACTGAACTATTAAATTTAAATTAAAAAGTTTATTTTCTACTTTTGAGTACAAAAAAAATATTTTTTAGCAAATATTTTATTTTCTACTTTTTAGTCTTTACAAAGAGTTACGATATTAGTATGAAACAAAATTTTTTTGTTAATAAAAGTATTTTAAAAGATTTTTTTTTTAAAAAATAGAAACCCTCAAGCAATTTTAGCAAATTTTAAAAATGAAAAGTATTTTTAAAAAGGAAAAAAGCAGTAAACAGCGTAAACATTCTCGCCTCCACTTTTCTTCCGCAGCAGACGGCAGCTGCCTCCCAATTAATTTTTAGCAGCAAAATTTTTTATGTTCCCCCTCCGATGGCATCCGCCATCTATTGACAGCCGCAGTCAGAGATTTTTTTTGAAGGCAAAATGTTTTCAGGTCGACAATAGAGAGAGACGGAAGCCAATGGTGGCCGCCTCTAGTAGAAATTTTGGAGGCAAAATCATATGGAGGCCGCCTCCTATAGCTTTTGCCTCCCAGCTGGCTGCGGCCGATAAATTATAGGCGGAAATATTTGCTTACCGGCAGCAAGTGTAATGAAAAATTGCACATTTGCCTTTAAGTTAACGAGCAATTAAATTATTAACTGAGAACAAATGTTTGACATCAAAGTTTTGTTTTATATGATTTATTGACTATTTAAAAAAATTTTTGAAAAAAAATTAATATTTTGTCAGAGCGGTTGTTTTTCTAGGACTATCAAATAAATTTTTAACTTTTAAATGTTTGAAGCTTTTAATCGCTTAACTTTAAAACGTGTAAAAGTAGATGAGTCTATATTTTTAAACGTTTTTATAGAGTAAAATATAAATAATATTTATAAAAGTATTTATATTTAAAGTTTATAAACTTTATTTTTTTTGGTTGTAATTTGGCAAAACTATTAGCATAATACAGCGTAGTGGCAAACTTTTTATAAACATTAGCAGTTATTTTTGCAATAACTTTTATAATATTCAATTATTAAAAATAATTATTTAACGTTAGTATTTAACGTAATTTTAGCTTGTTGACTTGTTCTAAAATACTTTTACCAAAATCAGTCAAATTTTTTTTTCAGTCAAAAAGATTTATTCGCCAATGGGATAGAAGTAAAATTTCTAACTTTTAACGTTTGTTTTGAATAATAAAACTACTAATTTATTCTACTTAATTTATTAGTTTAAAAAAAAAAATTAGAACTTTTTTAAATACTGCACATAATCATATAAAATGAAATTTGTCAAATATTTAACATTTGTTTCTAGTTAATATTTAATTGCATTAAAGTAAACGAGCAATTATTTTTCATTACATTCCCGCCTCCAATTTGGCGACCGCAGCCAGTTAGGAGACAGAAGCCATTAGAAGCGGCCTCCAAATGATTCTGTTTCCACAATTTTTTTTTGGGGTAGCAACCAATGGCTTCCGCCTCCTTAATGGTGTCGGCCTCTAAAACATTTTGCCTCCGAAAAATAACTCTGGCTGTGGCCACCAATAGAAGAGCACAAACTACTGGAGGCGGAAGAAAAAATATTTTGGGGCTAAAAATTGAACGAGAGGCCGCCGCTTACAGCTTCTGCCTTCCTAAAAAGTTGGCCTTTCGACAGAAAGTTACTTTGCCGCCTGGCGGCATTATTAACTAACAGAAAAAATTTTAAAAAAAGTAAATTAAAAAAAAATTACAAACCCACAAGCAATATTAGCCTATTTTCAAAATGAAAAGATTAACATTCACTGTTGATAGCAAACTAGCAAGCAATTTAGTAGCAAATTTTCTATAATGTTTTTATTTCAGTGCATCATGGACGACAATTAAAGATAAGGAAAAAAATTATATAAGTGAGTGAAAAGATTACAAAATATTACATTTTTTAGCAAATGATATTGCTATATTTTATTTTCTTCTTTTTAGTCTTAACAGAGAGTCATGATATTTAACAATGTCAAGACATTTGAAATTAAATCCAGCTTTTTATTCTTATTAAAGAAACTGAGTATTTCCTGATTAAAGGGAACGACTGAATAAGCGCGAATTTTATAAGTGCAAATAGCGTATATGTGAAATGGCATAAGTACAAATGGCATAAGTCCAAAGCAGTTACATTTGAAATAGCATAAGTGCAAAGCAGTTACAAAAACTGGCACAAGAGCGAACTGGCATAAGTGAGCCAAAAGAATTTGGAAACATTGGCATAATTGCGAAATGTGATAAGTGTGAACTTGCACAAGTGCGCCGAATAAAATTGCAAATATTGGCATTACACATCTTATTATACTTCGCACTTGTGCCAGTTTTTGCAACGCCTCGCACTTATGCTAGTTTGCACTTATGCTAGTTCGCGCTTATAAAGCCTCCTGGATTAAAGAAGCGGAATATATTTTTTTAAAGGATAAAATTTTTTTATATAAAAGTAAAATAACATACAATTACCGTACAAATATTTCATTTGCATTGTCCTCTCACATATGTAATATATTTTAATATTAATATAAGACAAATTTATGTTGTAAGTTACATTTTTCAAGTTTATTAAAAAAATTTTTTTTTTAAAGTATTAAAAAAAGATATAAAAAAAAGATACAAACCCACAAGCGCAATATTAGCCGATTTTAACCAAAGAAACATTTTCCATCAACAAAAGCATTTTTTAATAATAAAGGAACCCGCAAGCAGTTTAGAAGCAAATCTTTATATAAAAGGTTATTTTTTTATATGATATTGGACAACAAAGAAAGTTGAGGAAGAGTGCTAAGTGTTAAGTGAAAGAAAAGATTATAAAAATGTTAAGTGAAAGAAAAGATTATAAAAATAATAATGTTAATAAAAATGTTAAGTGAAAGAAAAGATTATAAAAATTACATAACACTGCATTAGGACTATAATTTAAGAGAATAGAAAAGTCAAATTAGAAGAGAATGGAAAACAAGGAAAGAAAAGAGAAGGAAGAGGAAGAGAAAGGAAAAGTCAAATTGATAGATTATTTGAGAAATGGTACTTTTTTAAATTAATAGCTAGAGTTTCTTATATAACAATAATGATCAGCAAAGTTATATAAACTCTGAACAGTTCCTAAAATGAGTTTCCAAAGCGATACAATTTTTTTAATTTAAACTATATACCTATGACTTCAGGTTAATAAAAAAAGCAACTATAAAAACTAACATGTGCATAAAAATATAGCAATTATCAGCATCAATTATGAAACAAAATCAATAAATTCAAGTCAAACCCAAAACTGATATACATCAAAATGTAGCAAAAAATGAGTTTCTGAGTTATGACATAAACAAGAACTCATTGAAAACAAGAAATCATTGACAACAAACAAAGAAATAGAAAATAGTCAATTTGAATCTATATTCATAAAAAATGTAAACAACATTTCTTATTTTTTAAGCTGTACTGAAACAACATGTGTTTCACCAATATTTACTTAAGAGATAATCATAGATAAAGTAATTGCATTGGGTTTGTATAAAAGTATAGGTGCCAACAATCTGTGTAGAAGTAATTTTTACACCATTGTAAAACATTTTATTTTGCTGGTAACCTCTAGACTGGTTTATAAAATTTGAAAAAACCAAGAACTATTCATTAAACATATTTGAATTCAACCATTAACTCACATCAATTTGAATTCAACCATTCATTTACATCAATTGTTTGTAATTTTGTATTTTTTTTTATAATTTTACTAGTAGGAGGATTACCATTCGAGGTTTAAAGGATCCTTTTCTCCAAATCAACAAATAAATTGTGGGTTTTAAATCAAAGTTTCTTTTCTCCTAGATAATTTATCATCACAGCTAAGGAGCCTAATCTGCCTCACCTAAATAAACCTAACCTACCCTAATATAAAATCAGTTTAATGTTCATGATAATGCACTTGATAATATATATCTGAAGGGCTATGAATTTTCCTATTACCCAAATAAAAATAAAAACAAACCCTCTATATTCTATGTACTTGTAGAGTATAATAAAAAAAATAAAAACTAAAAACAAACCCTCTATATTCTATGTATTTGTAAAGCAAGGCAGCAATAATAGCAGCAACAAGAGCATAATACCAGCTTGAAACAAACATTAAAAATAAACACAGTAGAACACCGGCTAGAGATAAACTCCTGTAATAAAATTTTGCTTATAAAATTTAGGAGACAAATTCTAAAGCTTTTTTTATTTAATAATTATTTGAATTTAACAATCATTACTAAAACTATAATAATTTTAATATAGCTATAATTGTTTTAAAACTTTATACCAATGATAATAACGATAACGAGGACGCCAGTTTGGTAGCCGCAATATTGATTGGAGTGTGCATGCAAAATTAATAAAACCATAGCACATGAGAAAAAACCTAAAAAAAAATGTTTATGTTAAAAAAATATATATACATGTAAAACATGTTTTTACATTAGATTATGTTTTTTAGACCCCATAGCATGTCATAAAAATCTTTAATAATTCCCACCTAGTTTTCAAGTTATATTTTAATACTGTTTTATTATTCACTATTAAGATAATAAAATTTACAATTACAAGAACTTTTTTAACTTTAAAACATAAACAAAGCTATGAAATAAGTTGAGCAAGACATGATCAAACACTTTATTTCTCTCTTACAATGAAACACTATGTATTAATGTGGTAATATTAATATTTAGATTGTTTATCTATTTAATAATTATACAGTTTACTAATATCAAATAGATATTAGTAAACTGTATAACATTTATATTTATATATATTGTTTGATTTTTAATAAAAAATTTTCATACTTATTTTTATTATTTAATCATGCATAAATTTCAATACTGAAAAAAATAAAAGATTAAAAAAGACAAACTTTAATAAAAATGAATTACATGGTAATAATTGGAGCAACAGAATCAAAACTAGCAATAAGAACTCCAATTTCACAAATCAACAATGTTAAAATCAATGCTCTTTTTGGCTCTCCATCTTTTGATACATGAGAAAAAATCCTCAAGAAAACAATGATATCATCATTGGCTATTGCTTGCAATAATCTTGGAGCACTATAATAGGAGTATAAAAATAAACCTTTTATTTACTAAAATATTATGGACCAACTATAAATGATGAAATAATTTAATAAGACTCAAATATAAATAAAATTGTTTTTGTGAAGTTATAATACGCAATGTTATAATACGCAATGTTAAAATATGCAATGTTAAAGTATGCAATGTTATAATATGCAATGTTAGAACACCATTTATTACAAATAATTACAAAATAAAGTTACTTTAAAGTAAAAACCTATTTTGTTTTCACAAACAAAATAAGTTTTTATTTTAAAGCCTTTTTTTTAAAAATTACTTTAAGTTTAATTAATCATGATGACATACAAACAAGTTACAACAAAAAATATAGGATTTTTCAAATCATACCATATATTTATCAAATCATATATTTATCATACCATATATTTATCAAATCATATATTTATCATATCATATATTTATCATATCATATATCTACCATACCATATATTCATCATACCATATATTTATCATATCATGTATTTGTATTTTACCCAGTCAAGCTCTGCAGACCAGCTCCTACTGTTGATAATAATGATCCAATGAGTATCATCCATTTATTAGGCCAGCCTAATGCTGATACAACAAAAGAACCTCCAATACTCTCACCAAATCTAAATATAAACTTTAAATTTATTTTAATTAAAGAATTTCTTTAAGGAAATTTATTAAATTTGCTAACAAAAATGTTCAAACATCTGAAAATAAAGTCTTTTTTACATAAAATGTTTACTCTTTGGGTCAGATCAATGGAGTGTCTGATGTAGTTTCTTAGAATCTTGTCTAATGAAAATCTAATAGAAAATTTTACTTAACTTAAACTTAAGTTTAAGTAAAACTTTTAGCTTTGTTCTTTTTCATGAACTATTTATATAAAACCTGTTGCTTAGCAACAAAATTTTAAGTATTTAGGGTGTTTAAGTATTTATTAATTGAATCTTTGTAATTTTTAGATATTTAAATATAACTCAATTAACTAAGTTAAGTTAGTTTATCTTAAAATTATATAACTTAATTAATCCTACTTTTAAATAATATTATTACAATAACAAGATATTTAATTAGCAGTAGTTTTTCTACATTACTAGAAAAAAATTAATTTTGAGCTGACCTAACTATGTTTGCAATGATTTTTTTTTTGCACAAATCTAAAAGAAAAAAGAATGCTTTGAGAACTCAGTCTAGTTATAGAAAACCATTAAACACATCATTTGAGAACTCAGTCTAGTTATAGAAAACTTAACCCACATCACTTTAAAATTTTCCACTGAAAATTAACTATTGAAAAAAAAATCATATTTTGAGATAGCAGAAGATGCAAAAAATTTTTATTGATCCAAATAATAAATTTTGAAAAAATCATCTAAAACATCTTTCATTAAAAAGTTTTTTATTAAGCTTCATTAAAGAGGCTTTCATTAAGCTTCTTTTTTTTTGCTTTTTCTTTTTTGCTTCTTTTTTTTGACTTCATTTTCTCTTGATTTTATTATCTTTATACTTTATTATATCGTTAAATTTATTTTGCAATTTCTATAACTACTTTTTTCTTTTATAAAAATACATTTGCTATTTCTAAAATTTTTTTTAGAAAAATAGATTTTTTTGCTGAATAATTAAAAAGTCAAGCAAATAAGAAAACTATAAAAATTATTAAAATTAAATAAAAACTTTGATATAACAAATTCTCTTACTTGTCTCGTAAAACATCGCCCTTAATGGTTGCTGCTAGTAGAAGAACACTTGAGAGATCTTTAAAGATGTAGTCAAGAATATTATTCAAAACAACAAATTTATTTTTTCAGTATTTTACTATTTTATTCTCATTTGAGTTGTTTAATTATATTTTTCTTTAATTATTACAAAAATATATATTTATAAAGACCTAATTTTTTTTAAATGTAATAAACAAAAAGTTAAAAAAGATACATATACTAGAGGTAGTTAAAACTGCAGCTATTGTCCCTTTAGGTATAGAAGCTTGTGCATTTTTTAGATTTCCAGAGCGATTTGAACCAGCCATGATTCCTAATTTAATAATAATACTATTAAAAAAATGTATAATAAAGTTTCCAATTTAAATTTATAAGTAAAATTATGTAATATAACTATATAATCAAATATTAAAATTACAGTGCTCAATAAATAATAAAAATTAAAATACCAGTTACAGAAGGAAAAAATATTGCAAGCAAAATAGTAAATGATGTTGTGATATCAGCAACTACTTCACCAGGAAATCCAGTCACTCCTTGTTTTACTTGACCTGCTTTACGATAGTTACTCCAAAGTTGCTCTGTAATTGATTAATACAATTAAATTAATTAACAATAAATCAAATTAAAAAATATGATGACTTTGAATTTTAATAAAAACAAAATACAATTGTAAAATAAAATAATAACAAAATCATGATACAATGTTATAAAACTGAATAAATACAAACAGAGTTTGGAATCATTAAGTTGTAAATATTATTAAAAAAAACTAAACAAATAAAATAACTAAAATAACACAGAAAATAAAAAAATAAAAAATAAAAATTTAATGAACAAAGTTTACCATAAAAAATACTGCTAATTCCAGGCATAGCTTTGACCACTTGAGTATTTGAAAGATTGTAAAAAAGATAACTTGGAACAGTTTTTTCATATATTGATAACAGCAGTGAGTCATTTTTTGAGCAAACTTTATATGATGATTTTGATAATAGATGATCTCCAAGGTAACAAACGCTGTTTTAAAAATATAATTATATAAGAACATTTTCGGTAAAAAAGTAATATGTCATTATGTCTAAAATATATATAAAAAAAAGATAAATTCCAATTTGTTTTTTTATATTTAATAAAAAATGGTATAATAAATTTTAGTATATTATAAGTTTTTTTATGGAAGAAATTTTTAATAAATATAGTTTAAAAAATTTGTGTTTTACACAAGCTGACTAACTGATGTGTTTGCTTCATCCAACTTTTTTCTGATAAACTTTCATAAAGCTTGCCCCCTCAATAACATAGGCAACTGTACTTTTATCTAAATTCAAAACAAAGTTGGACCTGCTCTTGCAACCAACCTCCAACCATTATCACATTGTCGCAATGTTGCTTCTCTTTCTCTCTTCTTTAAATACTATAATAGACACTGCTTTAAAGAGTTAGCATCTCTTGTGCTATCTACTAAAATTCATTTGCATGTTACTCGTCATTCAATCAAGTCTCATTTTTCTTCTGTGACTGTTCCTGAGTGCTTTAAAAACTCTTATTCATCCAGTTTTTCCCCTCAAACATCAGTTCTTTGGAGTTCGCTTCCTTCATCTTGCTTTCCTGATTCATATAATTTGCAATCTTCTAAGTCATCTGTCAATTGTTATATTGCTCTACAAACTTCATTTTTTCTCTTGCAGTAACTTCTAACTCTAATAGTGGTTGCTTGCAGCCTTGTTGGAAGTAAAGATGTTAATCTTTTAAGTCATCTGTCAATTGTTATCTTGCTCTACAAACTTCATCTTTTCTCTTGCAGTAACTTCCAACTTTAATAGCGGTTGCTTGAAGCCTTGTTGAAAGTGAAGATGTTAAAAAAATAAATCAATCAATAAGGTTTTTTGGTATTTAACTCAATGGCTTTTAACTGCTAACATTGCACGATTGCATCTATTTTTTCATGCACCCTTAACATATCAAAAGATTAAAATCCCCTGTTATAATGAGTATTAATTTCATGTATTTCCTGTTTTTGACTTGAATGTGCAATTAGTTGGTATAAATGTTTCAATGAACCAATTACTTGTTTCTTGACTGAATTAAAGATATCGCAAGCAGTTTGATAACTTGATATAAGATCTTTTAGATGTATTAACATCTTGCAGCTATTTTTAATTCAACCTTGAACCATGAATAAATGTTTTAACTTTTAGCATTTTTGACGGCTACTGTTTGTTTATATTTTAAAAAGAAAAATTCATACTGAATGGCTGCTTGACTGCTTAAATGGCGATGTTACAAATGACTTCACTTTGACACTGCTTGAATGGCAATGTTACAAATGATCTCACTTTGATTATACTTTTAATATTGCCAGAAAAAAAACAACACAAATAGGCCAAAAAATAATTCATTGTTTTACAAGCACAATATTAAAAATACAATTATAATTTTTCATATATTAGCTGTAGTTAAAAAAAGTAACCAAAAAAACTTTTTTTTTTTGAATTAACCGAAAAAGCTTTTTAATTCAGAACATTAAATAATATAAGAATTTAAACTTGAAGATGAACTGACAGCCCTTTTCTGCCCTTCTAAAGGCGAAGAAAGCAAACTTTTGACCTTAGATTAGATTTATTTTTGGTTTAAATCTAAGAAGCAAGTCATACAATAGTATATAAAAACTAGTATTACATTTAGTAACCATAGCTTCACTGTGAAACTAATAGTAATTAACAAATAATACTAATTAATACTAATTAACAAATCATTATTAAGAGTAATATTAAGTAGGCATAATAAAAACATGTGACATATGAACTGCTCACATTTTGTTATACTCAACACTGGTTACGATGGATTAGTAACTTGAAAATTTTGGATCCAGAGATGCCAGTTTTCCTTGTGTATTGCTGATGTAATGTATAGTGAATGATGAATGGTGAAATATAAATCATAAAGTATCAGTTACTTTAGATAAATAAGAAGGTACTTATTTTTAATAATTTTTATAAAATCATACAATAAAAATTTCATAAAATTCTATGCATAGTTTATATTAAATCATTTATAAAATGATTTAATATAAAAATAATGAATAAAATTTCATAAAATTATATGCTTTAAAAAGTTTTTTCTGTTTTTTAAAATTTAAAATTGATCTCATAATAAATGATGATGATCATCATCATTATCTGATGATCTCAAAAAGATGATGACCTCAACCTATCTTATAATAACAACAGTAAAAACCTTACACGCTGGAATCAGAACATTAATTACATAACTACTGTTACCTAGGTGATTTTCTCACATGAATTGTAAAAAAACCAATGAATATTGCCAAAATCGATAAAAGAACACATGCAAGAAATAAAAAAGCACATTTGTTAACATATTTTACACCAATAAAAACAAGTCCACCAAGAAGTACCACTAGTGCTGTACCATAAACACGCATGTTATTTAACATTGCCGTTGATTGCACACCACCAGTAGATTGGCCATCATCAAATAAAGAAATCTGTGGAGTAATATATGTCTAAATAAAATAACACATATCAAAAGACATCTAATATTTGCCAAATGTTACACGTCCTTAATGAACATTGTAAATATAAAAAAAAATTCTACTACATAAAATTGTAAATGTAAATAAATAAAAACTATATATGAAATTGTATTGGGCGTTTGGTTGATAAAGTAATTAAAAAATTATGGCAATACCCCTCTAAGTTCACTGCAAATATTCTAAGGAGATAATAAATATTTTCCCTTTCATTAAAAAAATTATTTTATTTGTTTTGAAAAATAAGTTACATGCTTTTTACTTCAATTGGAAAAGAAATCTAAGATTTTTTATAAAAATATAGCTTTTTTTTTGGAAAAAAAAAGCTAAGTTTTTATAACAGTAAAAAAAACAAAAAGATTGAATAATTAGTTAATAAGGTAAAACTAAAACAATTTCCCAACATTAAGCTTGCTTTAACAACATAGAAAATCTCCAACATTTATGATGCTTGCTTTTTTAATGCAAAAAATCTCCATCATTTATTAAGCTTGTTTTTTTGACACAAAAAAATTTCCACTACTTCTGAAGCTTGCTTCATTAACACAAAAATTCATTTATTAAGCTTGCCTTATTGACACAAAAAAATCTCCACCATTTATGGTACTATGGCATTTAATCACACTCCTGCATGCACTTTACTATGTCTTTTCTCACAACGTACCACAGAACACAAAATTTACCATTCACCACCAACCCTCGGAATTAGGAAAAATGAGCTGACAGCCCTTTTCTGTCCTTCCAAAGGCGAAGAAAGCAAGTGACCTCAATCTTTTAGAGGTTGGCAAAAAAAATTGATACAAAGGTCTTACCATAAAACATAGAAACGAGGTTGGCAATATTTGCCAACCTCAAACACTTTTAGTTCGGCAGTTAGGTCAGCATTGCTAAATGCCGACCCTAATTCCGAGGGTTGCACCACTGTATAACATCACTGATTTAATCAAGACACAATTTTGGAAAAAAAAATTGTCAACCGAAATACAAAAACAAATTATGCTAAAAAAAATCATGCTAGACTTAAAATATTACTGCAGTTATACTGCACAAAAAATTGCTGTAAATGAATAAAGTATTGTACAATAAATTGTTGATCCTAAAAAAACCTTGAAAATTTTTTACAAGATTTAATCAATAGTCAGAGTTTAGAATTCACTTTTATTTCTCTACAGCATAACACAAATCTTTGCAGAGTATGATTTCTGGAATCCTGTTATCATTGTGAATAAGTTAACTATTTGATTGACAATAAAAGTTTCAACAGTGTATGAATTTAAAATTTCTTTTTAAATTCATACACTGATTTTGAAACTACTCCCCAAAAACTGATATGTAGCTAGTTACAATGTGTAACTATTTTGTTGCTAAAGAAGTTTTCATGGTAACTGTTTTTAATGAATTGACTATACTTTTTGTGTAATTCTCCTCATGTTTGAACTAGCAAAGATTTAAATGAACACTTTATTGTGCCTAAGTTTTTTTTAAGTAAGTTTTATTGGTTATCAGTGTGATAACAAATAAAACTTACTCTAAACTTCTTTCCGTTTGAGATTTTTATTAGTCTTGATACCTAGGTCCATTTGTAGGATGTTTCATCAATAAAAAAAAACAACAACATATGTTCCATCATTGGTAGTAATATATAGTGAAGTAGCATGATTTATTTGTTCAATTAATTTTTTTGATTTACTGCTCTAAAATTTTCTTGATTTTATATTTAATTATATATATATATATATATATATATATATATAATATATATATATATATATATATATATATATATATATATATATATATATATATATATATAAATTTTAATAAAAATCACAATATTTTTAATACTTGACATGTTTCGTAGTCTTACTACATTTTCAAAAGATTTAATTTAAAATTAAAAATTTTAATTGTAAATTAAATCTTTAGAAAATGTAGTAAGACAACGAAACATGTCAAGAATTAAAAATATTGTAATTTTTATTAAAATTTTTACAAATTTATTACTAATGCAATGTTCGAAATATATGGGGCTATTCTAGACAGTTTTTGACAGTGTTGACCAAATACGGACCGCACCCAAATTAAAATTTGAGGCCCTTTTTTTTAAGGTTTTTCACATAAATTGTTTTTTTTTGCAAAAAAAAAAACTCCAATTTTTCGCTAAATTTTGCTAGGACAGGGGAGGTACCACCGCCCAAATTTTTTTCCTAGGCCCTTATATATATATATATATATATATATATATATATATATATATATATATATATATATATATATATGTATATATATGTATATATATATATATATATATATATATATATATATATATATATATATATATATATATATATATATATATATATATATATATATATAATAATAATCAGAGGTAATCCACAATTTACATCTGACACTAGTTAAAGTAGAAGTACAATTATATATCAGTACACAATCATGGAAATATATAAAGTACAATATATTACCAGATCCAGTTGTCTAAATGTTTGAGGAAAAAACTAAAATGTTTGTTTCTTTGCCATTTTTTAATTTTATTTTCTAAGTACTTTCTTAATAAGACCATAACAAACTATTAATTATGAACAAACAATTATAAAGAATTATTTAAATTGACTTTATTAAATTACTAAAATTAACTGTTTTTAATTGTGATGATCATTTACATTATCAAAAAAATATAATAAATGCGTTTCTTGGAACACACCCACATGAAAATATAAACAATAATGAAATTTTAAGAATTCGTTTTTCAGTTTTAATTATGAAATATTATTGGCATCTGTTACATATTTTATTCACTATATTTTGATGTATGTTGTAGCATGAAGCTGGTAGTAATTGTTACACTTATTATTTACTACATTTTGGTGCATGTTGTAACATACAGCCTGTAGTAATTTAATAAAACTCAGACTCAGTAAAACAGCTTTTTTTGTCATTTTATCACAAAACTTTTTAATCACCTGCTATAAATTGCACCCTAAGATATAAAATGAACAAATATATCTTTAAATAGCTTTATTGTAAAAAAACTATATAAAAAAGTTTTTAATAGAACTTTTGGTAATATTGGCTTCTGCAAAATTAGAATCCTGAATTCCGCAAATAGGTGCTTATTTGCCAAAAAAAACCTACACACTTGTTTTATGGGCAACATCACTTCATAACTAACAAAATATATTGTATTATTTTTAATAAATTATAAGTTAATAAAAATTACCAATAAAATTTCAACAGCACCCAAAATATACATAGCAGAGGCAAATGAAGTTCCCAGATAAAATAATATCCCCACTGCACCACCAAACTCTGGTCCTAAACTTCTTGAAATCATGAAATATGATCCACCAGCTTGAATAGTTAAATTATTTTTTTAGAAAATGTTTTGAACTCTATCATGATTACACAAATATCTTAAAACTAGAAATTATTGTTACCTAGGTTACATTTTTATATTTTTTTTCCAATTACTTTTTAAATGTTTATTAAAAAAAAAGATAAAATGATTGCATCAAAATATTTACAAACCTGGTACAACACCATTTGTAGCAATTGCACTCATTGATATTGATGTGAGCATTGTCTTTTTTATTATAAAAAAAGTAATTTTGTAATAACTATATAAATTTATAAAAATAATTAAAAATAAATTTAAAAAATTTAAATGCAATTATTGAACTATTTTTAAATTAAATATTTTATATTGAATAAATTTCATAAAACTTTGTAACAGTGCTTACACAACAACAGCATATAAAGACTATGGTAAAACTATGAAGTACACCAGCTGTTCCTACAACCCATGACAAGCGAATGAAGAAAATAACTCCAAATATATTTTGCAGACATGGCAGGTAAACACCAGCAATTGTACCCAATGATGCAACCTAAATATTAAAAAGATTTTAATAAAATCAACATTTTTACTTTTGAATCTTTAAATATCATTTTTATTATAACTGTAAATTTTAAAATTACCTTGGAGTTGTGTGAAGTTTTTATTGTACTGGCACCAGGGAAGGCAGCACTATAACTTCCCACATTGTGCAAAAGTTTCTGTAGCTTTCCTTTTTGACCAAGATCTTCCTAAAATGAAGTTTTCTTTTAAAATCCTATGGAAGTTAGACAATTCATCAAGAAAATTGAGTTTTTTGGCTGAATATATTTTTATCAAATAATAGAGAATAGAAATTTGACATTAATTATTCCTATAATTAATGTCAAATTTCTCCTAGAAGTAATAGCTATCTAGCCCTAATAAAATCTAATATAAGACATGGATGTTATAAATAAAGCTAAATAAAGACTATCAAAATAATTTAAAAAGCATTATTTTTATTTTTAATTCTGCAATTGCCATAACATGGCAACAAAAATTCCATTTTTAATATGCATCTATTGCCAACAAATAAAAATAAATTTTCATTTGGCAGTTTCCCCTTTGGTTGTTGAAAGCTATTATTCTTTGGATAACAAAGTTTTACATGTTTGCCAAGCATGTAAAACTTTGAACTAACTAAAAGCATGTAATTATATCCCCAGATCAAGATTTGCTTGGTCTGCAGATTTGATTACATGCTTTTTTGTTTTAAGATTACTTAAGAAAACAACATAAAATGCGATTATGTCAAAGTATTAAGAATCTCCATGCAAAAGTATCTAGAGCTACAATTAATAAATATTTTAATAATTTACAACATTCATTAAAAGATGATAATGGAAACATGACTCAAGGATTTTTAATGCTGATGAAACAAATGTGATAAATGATCATGGTTGTTCAATGCTTCTTCATACGTGGAACAAAATCAAAGAGCAAGTTTTAGACAAACAAATCTATGTTTTGTGGTTCAGCACCAGGAAACATTCTACCTCTTTATGTAGTTTACAAATATATTAAAATTTATGGTAATGCTGGACTGAGGGTTAAGAGGTGTATGATATAATAGATCAAAATCTGGTTGGTTTGATGCAATTACATTTTTTAATTGGTTTGAGAGTTTTTTTTTTTGCTATATACTAAGCATCTTCTCACTGGTATATTTGTAATTATATGTGATAATTTAGCTATGTAGATAAAGATAACTATGTATCACTTGATTTCACAATACATTTTGATAGTATAACAAAGACTGGTATGAGTAAAGAAATAGAGTACACATCTTTCAGGTTCAAATCTTCTTTAGAGCGAATAGTTGTGGTGATCAACGATTTATTATTAATTATTCAATTAAGTGGATATTTTATTGTAAGGATCAAGAAAAGTAAAGTTAACACAGTAAAGGTCCTAGACCAAGACCAAAACTCAAAGCTTCAAGACCAAGATCAAGACAATTGAATATGAGTATTAAGACGTCTTGTGAGACTTTAGTCTCAAGACCTTTATATCTTTATATTTTAAATTCTTATTTAAAAAATAATACTTTTTTGTTATTAATTTATATATTGTAAATAAAAACAATTCAGTTGTTACGTTTGTAATAATTCAGTTTTTGAACTTTATTTATATTTAAGTTAATTATAATCCACTTTTTAATTGTCATTGATAAATACTTTAGTTATCAACAGACATTTGTTTGTCTGAAATAACCCTATCACATGTGGATACTTTAGACAGACATTTTTTTAAAAAAAAGTACATAAAGAAAAAAAAAAACACAATAAGACATTTATATAAAAGCTGTTGATGTAAAAAAAGTAACCAGGTTTAATGTTAAAATAAAGACATCTGTCCAACAACATCTGTAGAGTAGTCCAAGATCATCTGTACATTTTTGTCCAAGATTATCTGTACAGATAATCTTGTACAAAAGTGTACAGATGATCTTGGACTACTCTACAGATGTTGTAAAATACATGTATTTTATTTTTACTCCAACAACAACTACCCAATACTATCTAGAAATTTAATGACTTCTAACAATGTCTTTAGACAGATGTACCTACATCTGGTAATTTTTCTCCATGTCCAATAACATCTGGAAGAATTTTCTTCAGATGTAATTACATCAGAAAAAACAGTTTATATGTAACTTCATCTGGTTAAAATAATGCATTTATATTTAATATATTTAATATTTTTTTCTAGATGTAACAACATCTGAAAAAAAAAAACAATATATGAAACTACATCTAGTTAAAATAAGGCATCTAATAATTTCATAAAATCCTGTAGCTATATTTATTATAATTGAAAAGATGTAACTACGTCTGTTAAATTTCCAGATGTAACTGCACAGATGCTGTTATACTTAGATAATTGAAATGATGTAACTACATCTCTTGTAATCATATACTTTTTACAGATGTTTTTAGACCAATGAAATTTCAGGTGTTGATGGACAAATGTTATTATACCTTAGTGTATTTACAGATGTTGTTGGAAATATGTAGTTATACATCTTATTTAGTTTTTTAGTGGGTCAGGGTCACAACTTATGTGGTTACCCTGACCCGCTAAAATTATCCAGCGTAGGTACTTATAAACTATGTTCTAATGTCATTAAAATATAAACTATATTGCCAATATAGTTTATATTTTGCTTATATTTATATCCAGTTTAATACTGGATAGTTTAAAAGTATTTAAACCCATGCTTAAAATAACTTATACTAATAAAAAAAGTTCGACTTTAAGTCTTACTAATAAAAAAAAGTTCGACAAATTTAAACTTGGTTTAAAATAATTTATGTACTTTAACCTTTTCCAGCGAGGAGTGATATAAATAGGGAAATAAGTTAGTCAATTAAAAGAACGAGAAAACTTATTATTAAAATTCCTTGTTTTTAATTTTCTGATTATTCATAAATTCTTAATATATCTTTACACACAGCAAACTTAAGTACAAAAAAAGTGGAAGCTTAGAACACGCTTATTGTAATTGATAGATAACTTAGAGTACTAGTTGCGTTAGTAACGCAACAACAATCCACCCATTGGTGTTAAGAGTTAGGTCGAAAAATTAGGCAGGTATTAAGAGTTAGGTCGAAAAATCCACCCATTGGTGGATTTTTCGACCTAACTCTTAATACCTGCCTTAAGTCCTAACTCTTAAAAACTGCCTACTTATTTGAGTTAATCAAAAACTCAGAGAAAAAGAGTCTTTCCTTATTATGCTATTTTAGAAAATCGCCTCATTTAAATAACTCGTTTACTAGGCTTTGTCAGTCCGTAAAGTGTAAAGGTGTAAAAGGTGTAAAGTTTTGCAACATTGTTTCGTGCAATGATAATGAATGTTGGACCCTCTTTGATTCTACTCATGGATTTTTGCATGCGCCTCCTTGATTTTGGCTATGCAATTCTTCTTTTTACCTGCTGATGAAGGTAAAGCTCTAAAACCTAATTTAATAGATTTCCCAAACTCTGTGGTAGCTCTAAAAGAGCTGTAATTATCAGAGTATTAATAGTGCCATGTTGCGCATGGATAGATTCCCTTTTAGTGCTTATGGTACACTTTGTGAAAACTACATAAGAAACCCTATGTTATAAGTAATTGTCATGCACTATCTATGAGTCAGTACAGCGCTTGAATATTAAGCACAAACAAAAATTATCACCGTCACCTAATTGTTTAAGTCTATCTTTTAAAATATTGATTTAATATAAATACCCATCGACATGTTTTACAGTTGACTATTTAATTGACTATTTTAACAAAAAGTTTCCATTGTGCATAAGATGCAGGCGGCAAATCAACGCCTAATGTTCTTGACAAATAAAATTTCGTATGGCGTATCTAAAAACGTTTTTTGAAAATATTAAATCAATCCTTTGCAACTGCAGTATTAAAGTGCCCTTCTTTATTACCTATGTTTTGGGTACTAAAAAATTTTATCCTTGATCCTGTATCGTTTTTTATCTAAATTAATGAGCTTTATGACAATCTTATTTCATTCTTGACAAAAAAAAAATCCTCATTTTCGATTGCTTAGCAACAATCTTAAATCTGATCTCTCTTCTGTATATTATTGATAAATGGGAACCCTCTCGCTTTTTTTTTTTTTTACAACCCTCTCACTAGTTTTCTACTTTACAACTTCTTGGATAATTCATTCACTAATGACCTTTCATTAAAATTATATAAACAATTCATTGCAAAGTTAGCACCTGCTAAAGTTGCTTTTCTCAGTCTTGCTCGCCAATTTCTTACTCCCAACTTTATTCTCTATAAATTTTCCTCCACTATAAATTTCTTATTCGTCTCTGTATGGAATACTGTTGACATGACAACATTTGGATGGTTTTTCAAATTTTTCTCTTTCTTTTTAGATAAAGTTTAAAAACCTATTTTAAAAGTAGTTCAACATGCTATTTCTGCCGAGTTTAATCCACTATCTCATCGTCTAAAGGTTGCATCTTTTTCAGAGTCATTATCTAAAGGTCAAAATCAAAAGCTTGATTATTCGTTCAGCAAAATTAAAATAATTTTTGTATCTGTCCTTTTATGTTCTAAAAGTTTTTATTCAACTAGTTTCTTTTCTCGCTCATCAATGCTTTGAAACTCTTTCCCAACCCGACTCATACAGTGACTGTTTTTTAAGTCTATTGTAAACCGTTTTCTTACTCTTAAACAATTTTTTTTGTTTTCTGGTCTTTTTTAGTAACTTTTTATAACCTTTATATTTTTTTTTATTGTATAGTCCTGGGGGAATGCATATTACTATTCTCTATGGATACGTCACTGAGTACCATTTAAATGCTAAAAAGAATTATTATATTGATCTAAATTGATCTTCACAAAGCAAATAGATAAAAGTTGTTTTCCTTTTAAAACTCTATTTATTAGTTTTATTGAAAATTTTTATTAAGATGGATTGTAATTAAGATTTATAATTATAAACTATTTCGCGTTATTGATGATCCTATCTAGGTGCAAATTAAATTTGAATTAAACTTTAATTAAAATTAAAATTATTGGATACTTTTTAACTTTGCTGAGTAATAGAATATTCTTATTTATTTTTATTTAAGCGATATATAGCATAATTTTGTTTTTTTAATTCAACTTTAAGTCATCTTTTGACAAAAAAAATTACAAGTAGTTAGTATTATATCTTTTAATTAATTGTACGCTATTTTTAATTTTTTTATACTCATTTATTTATATAAGCGGTATATAACATAGAAAAGTGAACAATAAAGTATAGTAGGCTATGGGTATGCAATATAGTAAGCCTCTAAATTCTTTTTGCATTTTAATCTTGGTATTGTTGTGGAGTAACCTGTAACAAAATATAAAAAATATATAATAAACATACAAAAATAATTGTCCTTATTTGGAAAAATCAAAGGATTATTGGATTGCTAATATAATATACAAAAAAAAGTACATAATTACTGTATTGGATTAGTATGTATTGAAAATGCTTTTACATGAGCACAAACGTATATATCTATAATATTACAGTTTACTGTAATATTTAGCAAAATATATTGCAGTAAACAGTAAATATAAATAAATACAAATTTATGTATGCATTCTATATCTTTACAAATATATTAAAATATATTATATTTAATATAGGAAGAAATTTTGACAAGTTTTAAACTTTTATGCTCATTAAAAAAAAGAAATAAAATAACATTTTAGAGAAAAGTTGGGTTTTTATTTTAATTGTAAAATAATGTACCTCATATAGTGCCAAAATTTCACGACTGAGTGATTTCTTTGTATCCTTTAGATCATTTGGCTCTTAATAAATGACACATTATATATATATATATATATATATATATATATATATATATATATATATATATATATATATATATATGTATATATATATATATATATATATATATATATATATATATATATATATATATATAATATGTAAATATATATATATATATATATATATATATATATACATATATATATATATATATATATATATTTATATATATATATATATATATATATATATATATATATATATATATATATATATATATATATATATATATATATATATATAAATTATTAGAAAATCACAAATATTAGGATTGTTATTATTATATTACTAGTGCGCAACTTTTTTTTTTTTTGTTTATTTGTTTTTCAAAAAGTAAAACTTGCATACTTTTTTTTAAAAGATTAAAATTTCATATTTATATAAGATAGAAGTATTTTGTAACATAAAATACACAAAGTAATAGTAATAGAGTTTTTATTATTATAAATTTGTATTATTTTATTGATCCTCCCATTTTTTAAAATCAATTTCAAAAGGAAACTTGGCATACTATAAATGTAACTTAAAGTTATTTTTTTTAAATTTATGATTTTACAGCCATAAAAGTTTTTTGTTTTACTTAATTCGTTCCTATTTGTGATATTTTCTTTTGAAATTTCTTCTTTAAAAACTCCGATTTAAAGTAATCTGGGGAACTCCCTGGCCAATCCGAAACTGGAATTTTTTCATAATGTCTATTAAAACCCAGAACATAAAAGGATGTTTTAAAAATTAAAAGTATAAACTTTCTCATGTCACTATAATTGACACAACAACAACAACAACAACAACAAAAAACAACAACAATAAACAAGAATCTTTGAGTTTTTCTAAAAGGTATTTACTATGTACGTTCAAATTATTACCTTTAGTTTTATCCACAAGTAAGGTATCATCATCAAGATTAATATCCTCGAGAGATTTATTAATGTGATCTTTACTTTGATTGTGAATGGTTATTTTTTCTTGCAAATCGGCTTTTTGGACAACAAACCGTACTGAGTCTGACATTTTCTGATTTTTTTTATTTCTCAAAACAGTAAAAGTATTTGATAATAACGCGAAGCAGCTGTCTTTTCTCGCGGATTATATCATTTAAAGAAGAAGATAAAAAATGCAAAGCACGATTTTCAAAGATTTTTACGTACTATGGTAATAAATAATTTATTTTTTACGTAAACAATGAGACATTAACTTTTCACGTGCTTGTTGTTCACCTGCTAAATAATATCATTGCTTTTCCTTTTTGTTTTCTTGTTGTTTTCTTTAGGCTTTTCCTTTTTGTTTCTATTTTAACAAAAGTTAAATCTATAACTTATAAATAAAACTTGTGTAGGCAACATAGTATAAACTATGAAAAAAAATAAACCATTATTTTAAATCTCTTTACATAGTTAAAACTGACGAATAACTTTTTAGTCCCACCTAAAAAAAATCCTTTAAACTTTAAATTAACCTTAAACAAATATAATTTTATACCCGCATTGAAATGCAAATAAAATAGTAAGTTTTGTTGTCTTGACGAAGTCTTGTAGTTAAAGTGATCAAAAAAGTTAGATATGTGTTCAAGTATTCATAAAAGCAAAAGAATCGATAACTAATTTTTTGATTTGCACGATGTGTGGTAATTGCATAATTCAATAAAGAATAAACGCCTTTCATATTCCCCCTCTACCCCCTCTTGTTACAAAAAAAAAATAAATTACTCAACACCAATGTTTCAAATTTTTTTATCGGTAACAATGCTAAAACTTTTGTTGGGGCCATCATTCAAACAGTTTTACTATTAAAAGAGTGTTTATTTTAATAAAACCCCTCCTAGATTATTGATAAAACCATTGTTTGGAAAGTAAAACAAAGTTTCTTAATTGTCACGATAATGTCCCGCAACCTCGTAATAGTTACAGATGTTCAAATGTTTGAAGACAAAGATTCTATCATTAGAATTCGATAAAAACATGTGTTACAATTATTTTTATAATCAATTGAGAAAATTATTTATTTACAAGCCATGATTTGTTTGGTAAATAATTTAAAACAAAATTTTATACTATATATTCATGCAAAAGCTTTTGTTGATACTGGTACCTAATTTATTACCAATAGCGATACAGTTTTACTATTTTGTTTTTTTTTTCTTTTTAAATGTTTTATAAATTTTGAAATGAATTTGTAATTAAAAAAATGTAATTTTATATTAATATTATTTATAATTAAAATCAATATTAAAGGTGTCCTTGGTCTTGGTGGAGTTAAAAGAGTTACAATGCTGCAACGAGGAAGGAGTAGGGAGGAGGAAAAGGGTTTAAAAATAGCGTTTCGTCATTCATGGACAACCTTTTAGCGGTGTTCTTGGTAGACTGCTCAGTAAAAAATAAATGACTGCATCATTATTAGAAATAAAAAAAATGTTCACTCAGTACTATAAATAAATTCATCAAAAAAAAGTATTTAAAGATACACTCAGTTTTTTAATTCGTTTAAATAATATTTAAAGATATTAAAGACTTTATAGTAAGTTTGAATTTGCACAAGTTATCTACAAACATTTTTATAAAGTAAGGTAAAAGCTGCTTCTCCAAAGCTTGCTTAAAAAAAATCCTATTACTTTTTTTTAATTTGAACTCTAGAAATGATATTACAAAAAAATAAATGCAATACATTGTGTATGGGTTAAAAAAGATCTGTTTTGTGGGGTTCACAAAAGATCCGTTGTGTATGGGTTTATAGGACCAGTTGTGTGGGGATTAAAAAAGATCCGTTGTGTAGGGAAGACTAATACCAAACAACTATTAAAAGGAGACTAATACCAAACACTTAAAAATTGAAAAAAAAAAAAATATTTATAAAAAAAAAAAATCCAACTTTTAAATTTATGGATATAAAGTAATAAACCTCGAGGTGGTGGTATTGGTGGTAGTGAATGGTCTATTATTCATGACTCAGCTCATTTTATAAAAGTCTAATTTTTAAAAATGAACAAGGTCATGCATTCAAAACATCTAGCATTTTAAAACGAGTTTAACAACCATTAATAAATTACATTATTATTTATTAATATTATTTAATTTATTAAACCACGTTTTAAAAAAATGTCTAAATGACTGCTTTACGTAAACCACCTTGTGAAAATAGAAAATCATTCAAAATGGTCAAATTTAACAATCTAATAGTTTAAAACAATGTTTTTTTTATTTCTTATGCTCTGTGACTTATTTATTATGCCTTGGAATGTAATTGTAATGAATAATTATGAAGTTGTAAAACAATTCTTGAAAAAAAAAATGTTTATGTAGATTGTAACTTTTGGTATTTTATTGATTTTTTACAAAATATGTTAAAGACAACAAATAAAATGATGTTAAAAAAACTCTTTTGCTAGTTTTAATCATATCTTATTGGCAATAAAAAATTGTAAATAATTGTAAAAGATGAATCAAAATAAACTATAGATAAACACAAAAATAAATAGACAGTAGATAGACAACACGAAATATTAAACAACCAGTAGACAGCACGAGATACTAAACAATCACTAGACAGCATTAGATTCTAAGACAGACAGCATTAGATTCTAGAAAAAACATTAGACACTAGACAACCGCAAGTAAACAACCACAAACCACTAGACATTGCTAGATAAACAATTATTGAAATCAAATAATTATCTTAATTACGAAACATCAATTTTCACTATTAAATTTAATTTTTGACAAATTTTCCAACAAATCCTGAGCTTGTTAAGAACCTTTTCAGTTCGATTCCTTAGTTTACGCGTAATGTATTGATTTAAAAATTAAATCCATTTAAATTGCATTAAACAAATTCATATAAATGTGACGCAAAAATAAGAAAAAGAAACTTAAGTATATCATTAATTAATGGTATTACTGTTGTAGGATTTTCTTACAAAGTTAGTTAATATTTGGTGAATAACCGGTTGTTTTCAATAAGCATGAATGGAAACTTGTCTTCTTCAGTTGGCTTTAGTTTCATGTTAGAAAACAATTATTTCCAAATATTTGTTGATCCAAAAAGTTGTTAAAGACTTAGCTCCTGTGTAGTAAAAACTGTTTTGGGCATACATAAATTTAAACTTTTTAATTTGACATTGATATTATTATTTCTAGTTGACTTAAAATCATTAACTCGAGATAATATTTTCAAAAGTTAATCCATGTATTCCAACTAAACATTAATGAACTAGGTCACACACATTTTTTTAAATCATTAAAAAGATTGATTTAGATTGAATATCTTTTGTTTGTGCTATGACCTCTGCTCTCTAAAAATTTTCTAGCTTTTGAATTAGTGTTTTAGAGAGATTTAGTTCAGATATACCATACTATTGGCATACTATTGGTTAAACTTTTGAAGTTAAATTTGGTATTTAACGACTCATTGATTTTTAACAGAAAAAGCCATTTTTTATGCTCTGTTGAGATTTTTATTTAAATTTAAAGGAGATACTTTAATAATTCATAAATATTTTTAATGTTCAGTAGAATACTTTCATTTTTTTATTCGAGTTTAAGCTCATTAAATTTATATACTTCGTTTAAATTTTCAAATACCATACTTTTTTCTTCTTTTTGCAAGTTTATAATCAAATCACTGCTATTAAAATAAAGAGACACAAAATTTAAATCTTTATTCAATTTCATCTCAATTACTGTGCATTCAACAATGTTTGCAGAGTGTAATTTTTTTTCAAACACAAAGTGTTTGTGAAAAAATAAAAATTATCATTAATTAGAAAATTCATTCATCTTCTTTAAATCAGTCATATTTTGCACTACTTTTAATTCTTTTCAGCAATATTGCATTTGTTTTTAAATAATCATAAAATCCATTGCAAGCATATGCTATAAAGTTATATCTCACCAAAAGAATTCCTTTTACTGACTCCACTGATAAGTTACTTCTTTTGACCATTGCATGTTTAAAAGAAAATAATCATTCTACATTAGCATTATGTGCCATTATTGTGAAAAAGAATTAAGCAATTTTTAATACCCGTGAGTGATAATCACTGTTCTTAGATTGTTCAAAATATATAGTCCCTTTTTGTTTAGTTGAAGTACTTAAATATTCTTCATTATTATCATCACCAAATTAATTTAACTTCACTTCGATATACTTCTTTAAGTTGCTAAATTGATCAAAGCACTTTACATCATCAATTTCAATGAATCTATTAGCTAAGAAACGCTGTTAGCTAATAAAGTTGTTTAACTATTGCTTAGAAAGAAAAAATGTTGTGCATAAAATATTTTTTTTTAACTGTGGGACTATTTTATCATTCTACGAAATCACCCACAATATTCTACTCGGACAAAACCCAATTTAAAATATATACCACGAACGCCAGTTAAATAGTTTTAACAAATTTATAAACCTCTCACCTTAGAAGTTATTCTCAAATGTAGTTTCAATCAATTTTAAAAAATTAATAATAATGCTACATGGAGCAAGAGTGACACAATAAGATCAACTCGTTTCTCCGCGCAGCGGCCTTGTTCGTCAAGGTTCATGTTTCGGAGTTATAGAGTTGAGAGAGGATTATAGCCTCAAATAAGTAGCCTCCTCGTCTGTAGTGGCCTTCTCGGCCTTGAGGAGGTAAATTAAAATTAAAAAAAAAAAAAAATGACTAACATTAAACAGCAATACTTATTTAAAATTTTCAGCAATCAATCAAATTATGCTGTAACTATGATCAATCAATAGTTATAAAGTTATAATTTTAAAATATTAACATTTGACATCATCTTAATATGGTGTTATGCCAAAATAATATCTTTTTCTTGAAATATCAAAAGTGGCGAAATTGCCCTCCTGGCGAAATCACTCCGGTCTACCCAACCTAGAACAAAATTTTGGACAATTATGTGGACATTGTGGAAAGACATGCAAATGAACAGAGAGTAGATAAGTCAGAATACTTAAAAGAAATTGTTCAATAATGTGAAAAAATTGGAGAAAGAGGTAGGAGTAAAACATCCAACAATATCAGTTGTTTTTATCATTATTGCTGGTATATTAGACTTTATTGTACACTGTAAAAAAACTACGTAGTATTTATCAGACTTTTTCTGTTTGT